ATATTTTTAATGTTAAGATATTTTAATTTTTTTAAAATTATTTTTCAATTAATTATATAGGTTGGAGTTTTGTCTTTGAAGAATTTAAATTTAAAGTTAAGGGATATAAATGAGTTGAGTAATTTGTGAATTATTTTACGTCAAGAAATAAGATAAAGGACATCTTGATAGAAAAAAAATATATAGAAAGGTTATTTAATTTTTATTAATTAATTTTAAATTAAATATAAATTATATATCAAAACTCACCTGTCAAAATCTTACACGTTTTCCCAACTGATGCAGCCTTCTATTTTATTTTATTTTCTTGTTTGAACATGAGGAAAATTTGGGAAAAATAAAAAATATGGTTGCTATTACAATTTAAACTCCGATTGAAATCAAAAGTTAAGTGTACCGAATTAAGACAGTTAGAGTTACAGGATGCAGCCTTCTAGTTTTTAAACAAAAATAAAAATATTTTATTAAAAAACGATGTGCACGTTTTTGTTTTCTTCTTTTGGGGAAAAACAAGTCGAAATTGACGTTTGATGGGGTTTTTCACGAGCCTTTTTAGTTAGTATTTTATTTTAAAATATAAAATATATGGTTAAAAAAATATAAAATATAAAATTTTAATTAATATTTTATTTATTTTTATATATTTAATTAATAATTTATATATTATTAAGATAATAAAAGACTTAAAAAAAAAAGAAAAAAAAGACCAGCACCATCCTGAATTGAAAGTTCATATATATCCGGATGATCTCCCTTTCCCATCCCTCTTGTTATGCAGGTAGAATCGTACTTTGCTAAAAAAGGAAAAACAAAAACAAAACAAGAAGTAATACAAGACACCACAAATAAAGGAAGCCCAACACGCAGGGACGGAGCCAGAAAAATCAGTTAGGGGGGGCAAAAATTGGTATTAAAGATTTGAGTTTTTAAGAATATTTTTTTATAAAACTAATTTATTTTTAAAATTTTATTTTTTTTTAAAATATTTATTTATGATCTTTTTTGTTGGTATATTCTTAACAATAATTAGAAATGAATGTTTTTATGATAATAAAAAATAAAATATAGCAATAAATCATATAATGATCAATTGAAGAATGAATTAAAAAGAGAAATGTGTTTTTGTTAATAAAATTTCTAAAAAATTAAGAGGAAAAATGTCACAAAATTATATTGTTGCAAAGAAAAGTGTAAATTTAAAGTTGATTAAATAAAGAATCAAAGTTTTATTTTTTGGGGCTTAATAGAATATTAAGAGAGAAAATAAAAAAATATTAGAGAAAACTGTAAATTATTATATAGAATATTAAGAGAGAAAATAAAAAAATACTTGAGAAAACTGTAAATTATTATATAGAATATTAATAGAAAAAAATAAAAAAGTACTAAAGAAAAGTGTAAATTTAAAGTTGATTAAATAAAGAATCAAAGTTTTCTTTTTTGGGACTTAATAGATAAAGAAATGTTTAAGAACCCTAAATTCCTAATTAATTAAATTCTCATAAAATTCATTTTATTTAAATCATATTCTTATTTTTTGAAAACTTTTTATTTA